CCGATGGATCTTCTTCCTGTGCTGTATCTTTCTTACCATGTCTCTTCCCATCACTTCTTTTCTCCTTTTATCCTCCTTCCTGTCCTGTCTCTGCTTCACCTGTCCCTAATGCAGAAAGGAAGTATGGTTCTCAATAAAACAACTTTTATTTCAAAAGACTTTCATTTTCTTTGTTATGATTTCTAAAGTAGATGAGTGGATGGAGAACTCTAAGTTCTCTTTTGGCTCAGGAGCTCGATGTGAAGATGTTTCATGTGTGAATCTCAGTCTTTTTCCATTGTTTCCCCATCTATTTGCCACGAAGTGATGGGACCGGACGCCATGATCTTAGTTTTTTGAATGTTGAGTTTTAAGCCAGCTTTTTCACTTTGCTCTTTCACCTTCATCAAGAGACTCCTTAGTTTTTCTTTGGTTTCTGCCATAAGGGTGGTGTGATCTGCATATCTGAGGTTATTGATATTTCTCCCAGCAATCTATTCACTTGAGTATTCTCAAAGTATTTTACAAGTAAATATGGAATTTTCAGTTTAAGGCTGGAGAAGCCAGGGAGCAGATATGGGGAGAGTCATGTATCTTATTTCCTGACGGTATCCAGCTTGGGATCTAAAGTGCTGGGAGAGATGGGGACCAAGAAGCAGGATCAGTGGCAGAAGAAACCACTGAGAAATCTCACCACAGTCCTCCAAAACTGGAAGCTTTATTGATTCCCATTCAAGGGGTGTGATTCTGATTAGGTAAATAAGTCTTAACATCCAGTAACCCAAACCTCACTCCTGAAACCCACAAAGGAAGTATAATTAAAACCTCCTTAAATTTCTTCCCAACCCTATAGCATGAAGTAGTTGAAATCACACTGGAACATTAATCAGGAGTCCTGCGTCCTAATTTGAGTCTTGTCACTTCGTAAAGTGGCAATTCTATTTACCATTTGCACCTAAGTTTCCTTATCTATAAAATGAAATTAATATGCTTATCTACCTCCCTGGGTTGGTTATTTTGAGAACCAAGTCAGATAATACATGTAAAATGCTTTGAAAAATTATAGTTATATATAAATATAAAATGGTGTTAATAATGGCATCAGAGCCCTTAAACTCCATCCCATACACTTATATTTGTGGGTAAACAATTAGGAACAATGGTTACTAATCAAAAACCACATTGTGAAAAAGAATTATGTACTCTCTCCTTGCTTACCAAGTTTGATGGCAGAATAGTCATTAGGTACATTGACCTTGAAGGCAGAAAATACTGAATTTAAATCCCAGTCCTGCTACCAGCAGTCTGACCTTAGCGATATTTTACTTGCTTTGGGTCTCATTTTGAAGACACACACACACACACACACATACTCACTCACTCATGCTTAGTGAGGGTAATAGATTTTTCATGATGAACCAATGAGATAATACATGCAAAATGCTGGACCCAGTACCTGGCATATGGTGAGCACTCAATAAGCATTAGCTTTGAAAAGTATCACACATTTCTTGAGCATTTGCAATGTGCCAGGTGTAACTTAGGGAACAAAACAAAAAGATCTGGTTTTTTTGTTGTTTTTTTTTTTGGTCACACCACGCAGCTTGCGGGATCGTAGTTCCCCAAACGAGCGCCAAGTCCTAACCACTGGACAGACAGGAAATTCCCGACATGGTCCTATTTTGAAGAAAGTGTACAAATAAAAACCAACCTGTTGACTATGCAAATGCAAAGGCAGTTCAGAAAATGAACTTAGAAACCTGCCTGAAAGACAGATTCCTTCTTGCAGGAGGAATCATTTGGCTCAAGACTTTTGAAGGGATAGTGGAAGTTTGTGTTAAAAAAAAATTTTTTTTGATGCTTTTTATTCAACTTTATCATTTGCCCACAGGCGTTTTTGGATCACTTGAAAAGCCAAGGCTCATGTTTATGCTTGTTGCCCTTCTGGTGATTCACCCTAAACATTTAGCGATTTCACGAGCATGGTTTTTTTTTTTTTTCTATGTACAGTAGATAAAAGTTTTATTAGACTGCAGAATGTTGTTTCATGGAAATTAAGATAAACATGTTTCACACAAGACATTTTGCCATGAAGTGAAGTGAAGTTGCTCAGTCGTGTCCGACTCTTTGCGACCCCATGGACTGTAGCCTACTAGGCTCCTCGGTCCATGGGATTTTCCAGGCAAGAGTACTGGAGTGGGTTGCCATTTCCTTCTCCACGAGCATGGTTTTTGAAGTTGATTTTACTGGTTATTTTCTCTGCATGAAACATCTGCTGTTTTGTTTTCCTTTCATAGACTCCTAAAGAGCCATACAAACGACCTGTTGATTCGCATCACTTAAAAGTATTTCATCGTTGATGCAGGTTGCTGATCCCTTTAAGGAGAGATGGTGGCGAGGACTTATGACCACTTGTCCCTCTCTGGAAGAGCTGGAGGTGACGGGGATAAACAGGCAGGGAGTGGAAATTGCAGTGCAGGATTTGCTGTTCTGGCGAGAATGGAAGGTTTACAGATAGTTGCAGATGAATGTACAGATAGCCTTTTATTTGCCAGATACCTTGCTACCAAATGGATGTATCTTTCACATTTCTACCAATCGTGTTGGCAGTGAACTGGGGAGTCAGAGATGTTGCCCTCAGTAGAAGAAATATCACACTTTTCTTTGGGTTTTCTGCTTTCTTGCTGCTGCTGCTGCTGCTGCTTGTTTCAGTCGTGTTCAACTCTGTGCAACCCTATGGACTGCAGCCTGCCAGGTTCCTCTGTTCCTGGGATTCTCTAGGCAGGAGGACTGGCGTGGGTTGCCATGCTGGCCTCCTGGGGATCTTCCTGACCCAGGGATCAAACCCAGGTCTTCTGCACTGCAGGCAGACTCTTTCCTGCTGAGCCCTCAGGGAAGCCCCCTTCTGCTTCCTTACTGTTGGCTAAATCTCTCAGCTTAACTACACATAGAAAGATGTTGAAAGCTGTGTTTACTCTGTATCTGCTTCTACACCAGCAACTGCAATGTTAGAGAAAATTTAATTGGCATCTAACAGAAATCATCTGTTAGCTTATAAAAGTCATAGAATCTTAAAGATTTTGGGGCAGGAAGAACCTAAGAGGGTTTGTAATTCAGCCTCTTCAATATCACAAATGAGCAAAGTGGCCCAGGGAGGCTGAGTCCATCTGTTCCAGAGTCCTCTGAAAGGGCTTTGGTCAACATTTTCCATGATGGTGATTTGAAGAGACCTATAGTACCTTTCGATTGCTGTAGACGTAAATGAATTGTCTTGCTCCCCTTTGTAAGCTGTGGAAGATACAGACCAAAGTAAAAATCTGGCAAATCCCAAGAGAAGAGAAGCCGGTAATACTGATGTTAATGTATTATTGGTGCTCTGTGTTTGGTGCTGAGTGAAAACAATTTGATTCACTCCACTCAAGTCCAGGGCATCTGATCCAAGAACTCTGAAATAAGGATGACGTTATCAACAACAATAACAACAACAGTCACCAGGACGGGATGGTATCTTGCCCCAAAGCCAAGAGACAGTACCGCAATACCACAGCAAGTCTGTGGCCGTGAGACCCCACCGCCCTGTGTGGTTTGAGAGATGAACTGCTGGATTCAGGATTTCATGTTTCTCGGAGCGATGCTCCCCAGGAGAAAGTCGAGCAGTTGGCAGGACGTGGAAAAGCCATCTTTGGCCGGCAGAGAGACCATTTCCTTAAGAATCCCACTTGGAAGCTAGAGTGCTTCATAGACAAGCCGCGCAGGCGGACGGCCACCAGCCCACCCGCCGTCTCCTCCCTTCGCCCGAGAGACGCCCGCCGCCGGGCCCGCGCCGGGCCACGCCCCTGCCCCGCGGCTCACCCCACCCTGCGGCTCTGGGGGTCCCGGCCGGGCGCCTTTTCCTACCTGGCTCTCTCGGGGGCTCCCCCACCCGCCGCTTGGCCCGGGGCTGGGGAGGGCAGGTGCGGGGCGGATCGTTGGCCGCGCGGGTCCTCGCAGGAGGGGCAGGCGTCCGCGGTGACGGAACAGAAGCCGCGAGAGCCACGGCGCTGCCCCCACAGCCTCTGCCGGGCGGCGGCCGGTCGGGGGCGCAGCATCCGCGCGCTCAGGGCCCGGCGGGCAGTAGCTGCCGCCGCCGCTCACTCGCCGGCCGGCCGGCCGGGGAACCCGGGGCAGCCTCTGGCCCAGGGGCGGTGGCAGCGAGACCCCGCCCCGCCCGGCCGGCCCGCGCCTATCGCGGTCCGCGGCCTGGTCACGCGGGGAGTGGCGCCGCGAGCTCCGGGCCATCGCCCGGCGGCGGCTAGAGTCGCGGCGGGCCGGGACGGGGGCGGAGGGCGGAGGGTAGAAATAGGGGCGGGCGGGCCGCGCCAGTCCCCGAGCCGCGCGCGCGGAGCCGACCGAGCTACGCCGAGGGCGCCGAGCGAGGCGGCCGAGCCCGAGCACCCATGCTGCTGCCGCTGGCCTGGGGCTCGCTCTTCTTCCCGGGGCTCTTCGGGGTCTGCACCTGGGGGCTGCGGCGCGCGCGGCCCGCCTGGACCCACCACGACTGCGTGATGATCAGCACCAGGTACGGGGCGAGCCCGCGCCGCCGTCCGGCTACCCGCCCCGGCCGCGCCCGCCCCGTGCAGAGCCCAGGGCGGAAAAGGGGGGCGACAGGAAGCGAGGGGGCTGCCTCCCGGGTCCTCGCCCCTCCGCGGCGCCGGCCGGAGCGCTCCGAGGACCCTGTGCGTCCTGCCCCAGAGGGAAGGAGGAAGACGGAGGTGGCTGGAGGCGGTTGCCGGGGAGGGGTGGGGGTGGCGAGAAGCGGGGGTCGGCTGCCCGCGCTGATGAGGACCGGGAGGAGCGTCTCCCGACCTCCGACATCTACCAGTGGCTTGGGGGGTCAGCAGCGGGGTGGCGGCCCTCGGTGCCCCGGCAGCCTGGGGAAAGTCAGGTTGCAGGGTTCTTGCTTCATGCTGTCCGTGGGGCTGGATTGAAGGCGCTCTTCACCACCCCACCCCACCCCGTTTCTCTTTTCTGCCGCTCGTTAGGCTGGTTTCTTCCGTGCAGGCTGTGTTGGCCACCGGGTCTGGGATCATCGTCATCCGCTCCTGCAGCGACGTGATCACCGACAGGTAACATCCGATGCGGATGCCGGTTGAAAGCTACACAAATCACAGCCCCGAACTCTTTCGAGGTTTCCACAGTTGAGTGGCTCACAGTCACTAGTTCTTTATCAGCGTAAGCCACCAGACAGCTGATTAATGGGTGAAACTTGGGCACCATAATTAGTTCCCTCCTCTCTTCACTTCCTTCAGCATCGCCAGCTTAGAAATGCTAGAGAATGACATTTAGAGACTTGAGTCTGATTTAAGGCGTGTTAGAGGACAGTGTGGTCTATCGACCCAAGTTCTTTATGAGATTGATACCTGTGAAAATCACTCAAAAGTGAAAGTAAGACTTTTGATGCTTTTACATGACCTCCCTGGGGTCCTGCTCTGGACCCCAGGGCCAAGGTATGTCCAGTGTGGTTAGTAGAGCCCTCCTAAGGAAAGGAACAAACTCCTCATCCCTTTCCTTACAAATGCTGCTTTCTTCTTTCATCTGAAAGATGAAGGTGATGAAGAGTTTTCTGGAGCTTTTGGAAAACTGACTCCTGTGTGTGTTAGAACTCAGTCCAGGGCTGGGGCAGCAAATGTGCATCCGGTAAAACATATCATAAAGACCTGGACTCTACTTTGTATAGTATTTAGACCTGTGCAATGGTGGTTCCCACCATCTCACCCCCTACTTTTAAAGCCATCCTTTTCATTTGTCTTCTCAGAATCACTCTTTCTTCCTCACAGATAAGTTGAAGAGCGACTGTCAAATGTGCGGGGAAAGTTAATAGCCTGTCCTGATCCCTTTCTCATGGTGACTTACTTAAAGTCTTGCTTTTTGCTTGTTGGGACTGGAATGGCAGGGGAGCCTGAGTGGGGCGTCTGACTCACTGTGGCCTGCAAATTCTGTGCCTGGATCTTACTTGAGATTTGTCCTGCCATCATGATGTTTGTGCTTTTCTTTTTTTGCCTCGTTTTAGACAAGACCAGCTATTAGCAACGCACTGTAGATGCTGCGAGAAGACAGGTCAAGTGACTTTGACTGCATACATCTAAGGCTAACAGCTTTTTCTTGGCTGGATTCAATATGTATTTTAATTGAGCATTTTCTGATGTTGCAGCAAGCTCCCTCACTCCAGTCTGTCAGGTCAAACTTGACACCCGCCTCCTTTGCAGAGGTAAAGGCGGATGCAGCCCCACAGTACTCCTGGGCAAGCTGCAGGGAGCTGCTAACACGTTTCAGAAAAAAGGTCTGCACACGATTAACTTTCAGTTCTTTAGCCCTGTGTCTCAGGGGCTTGGGCATCTGAGTTTGGCTTTCAGGGTCCTTCTTTTGTGTAACTTTATCCCTTAGATTCATTCTCTGCTTTCAGAATGGAGACAGACACCACCCTCACTTTGCATGGATGTACAAGGATGCTCCAAAGGCACCTAGATCATCTGGGGGCAGGGAAAAAGGCTTCCGGGTTCATAGTCTGTTCATCCAAATATTTTTCTATCATATGCCCTTGAACTTTAGGCCTTCATATAGAATGTCTGTAGGTAGGGGGAGATGTCTATGAATCTTGCCAAATTATATGCAGAATGTGTGGGGCCAGGGCTTTCATCATCTTCTTAAAGAGATCCAGATCCTTAAAAGGGCTGAGAGCCACAGCTCTAGGCAATTTCTCTATTTAAGCACTTATTTTGTTTGTTTGTTTGTTTTGGCCATACTGTGAGGCTTGCTAGACCTTAGACCAGTGATCTGCCAGCAGTGACAGTGTAGAGTCCTAAACACGGGACCACCAGGGAATTCCCTAAGCACTTATATTTGGACAGTACTTTTTACATTTTAAAGGACTCAGGGCTCACCAGTGGCTCAGTGGTAAAGAATCTGCCTGCCAGTGCAGGAGACACAGGTTCAATCCCTGATCTGGGAAGATCCCACAGGACGCGGAGCAGGGGCCCGGGAGCTGCAACCACTGAAGTCCTCTAGCCTAGAGCCCGTGCTCCGAAACAAGAGAACCATTGTAAAGAGGAGCCCCCGCTCACCGCAACTGGAGAAAAGCCTGTGCAGCAATGACCCACCACAGCCAAAAATAAATATAACCTAAAAAATAAAAGAACTCTTATCAGGAATTTCCTGGAGGTCCAGTGGTTAGGACTCCACACGTTCACTGCCAAGGGCCCAGGTTCAATCCCTGGTTGGGGAACTAAGATCCCATAAGCCATGGCGGTATGGCCAATAAATAAATAAAAGAACTCTCCTACTTTTGACTTTCTACACAATGACTTTATCAGGGAAGAAAGACAAGGATTATTGTCTTCATTTAATAAAAGAAGTAGTTAAGGTCCAGGCTAGTGGTAGCTGAAATTATAATCCAGATTGCTTGCTAGTAAATCTTTGGGGAATTCTGATAGCCACACTTTCTCATCTTACTGAATCGGTACTGTGTGCAAAATTTTAAAACCCTGGGCTCCACTCAAGGGGAGAGGTCAGTTATATTTCAGCTGAGCTTTTAGTAGCTCTTCATAGTTGTTTTAATTGAGATTGCTTCAAGAAAGCAGTGGAGACCACAGATGGGCAGCAGAATAAATATTGCATCTTTTTTTACCTCAATGGAACTTGGCTGTTAATTGACCTGCATGAATATTAAATCTGCCATTACTTGTTTGCCTGTTTCACAGCTTACTCATTATTTAGTTCTGCTGTGGTTAAGTGTGGAATGATTCAGGAACCAGAATGTGAATGGCACTCTATATGTTCCCAATGTTGCCTGTTCAGTGGATGGGCTCCTTTGGTTAAGTCACCCGGGACAAAGGTAAAGATACAGACGTGAGGCCCTTGGAACACCATGTGTAGTCTCTGGGGTATCGAGTCCTAAACAAGCACTGCAGGCGATTCTGATGTTTGGGTAGTTTGAGCCACCTAGTAGTGAAATGTTTCATCTACCTAACATGTGGGTGCTCCATTAAACTTAGCTGATTTGGTGAGTCTAATCCTTCTCCAGATAGTACATCATTTTAATGTTTTTTTCCCATATATTTTCTGTAGAATGGCTTTTTTGGGACCAAAATTTCCGACATTATGTAGAGACTTCCCTTCAAATCTGCTCTGGGACAGTGATAAAGCTATCATTTTGACTCAGCAAATATTGATTCAACTCCTTTGGACAAGTAAATGGGAACCCTGTCTTTTGTCCGGGTTCTCTTTGGGTATCTGTCCGATGTAAGGTAGTCCTTGAGATCTGGGCTCATTTCCAGACACATTTTTCTTAATGAGTGGCAGAGTTCAGCTGTGCAGTTGTAAAGAACATGGCCAGGGCTGCTTCCAGAAACTCCCTAGAGTGGGGCTGCAGACAGATGTAAGAGAAACTCAACTGCTGAGTAACAAGTGGAGTTAAACTGGAAATATTGGATTTGGGATGTGGGCTGCCTTCCAAACCAGTTTCTTGGTGGGGCAATTGAATCATTGGTATAGGTATCTACCTCAAAGTCAGCCTGTATCACGAAGTACCAAAAAAGCCATTACAAAGGAGTAGGCAAATAGTGATGGCAAGTCACCAAAACACAGGGTGCTGAGGGAATCCTTGCTTTCTAAGGCTTTGGCACTTACAAGTTCGCCCCGTAAATTTAAAGAAAGTTGTTCACTCTCCCTGTCAGTTCCAGCATCTTCACTGTAAAGTATCTGGGGTCAAGACAGCTGATGAAGTACAAAGCCAAAGCAAATGTGTTTAAGTGGAGGCTGGCTGTGAACCTTCATAATTGATACCCATAATTACTTCCTGGACCGTGTATATGCTTTCTTTCAGGCACTGGCTTGCCCGAGAGTATGTCTGGTTTTTGATTCCCTACATGATCTATGACACCTACGCCATGTACCTCTGTGAATGGTATCGAGCCGGGGACCAGAGCAGCAGACATTCCCTCACCATTTTTCGAAACTTCCTAAGCAAAAACCGCCTCATGATCACACACCATGTGTTCATTCTGCTTGTTCTTGTGCCCATCGCCCAGGTAATGGCCTCCCAGCAGCCACCAGGTCACTCGTTTCTCTTGCTGAACTGGGCACCCTGACTGTCAGATTCCCCCTTTTCCTCCCCTTCGCTGCCTTACCCACAGCCCTCCTGCCAGCTGCTGCCACAGTGATGGGAGGAATTACATCTGAAACTTCTGGTCCTCCTTACTGGTGATTCCCTAGCCCTCAAGGTTTCTCCAGCATTTGTCAAAGGTTCTGCCTTTAGTTCATTGAAGATTAAAAATCAGGGACTTCCCTGGTGATCCAGTGGCTAAAACTCCAAACTTCCAGTGTAAGGAGCCTGGGTTCGATCCCTGGTCAGGGAACTAGATCCCACATGCCACAGCTAAGACCTGGCATGGTAAAATAAATAAATATATTTTTTTAAAAAGATAAAAACCAATATACAATACAACATAAAGACTGTTTAAAGAAATGAGAGTAGCTCCATCAACTGGTTATTTGCCCTAATAGTGCCCAGAGAGGGCTGTATACATTATTTTGATGTCACAAAAGCACAGACTCTCAAAACAAAAAGCCTCCTTCCCAGATCTGCTTTTCCTCCCCCATAAAAAAAACTCACCCAACAAGGAAGAGAAATGGGAATGCAAAAGGGATAACGAGTCATTCCCGAGGACCTACCAGGTGACAGGTGCTTGGTTTAAAAACTCACAGCTTTCTAACAGTCATTAGAAATTATTAGAAATAATTAGACATGAGTTCCCTGGTTGCTCAGCTTTAAAGTATCTGCCTGCAATGCAGGAGCCGCAGGAGATGAGCGTTTGATCCCTGGGTTGGGAAGATCCCCTGGAGGAGGAAACGGCAACCCACTCCTGGAGAATTCTTGCCTGGAGAATCCCATGGGCAGAGGAGCCTGGCGGGCTACAGTCCATGGAGTTGCAAGGAGTCAGACACAACTGAAGCGACTTAGCACACACGCAAGCAATTAGATGTGATAATTAGAGAACCTGTTAGCCTTCTATGTAGATGAAGAAAGTGGGCTCTGAGCGTTTCCATACCTCCCCTCGGTGGTATACTGTGCTGCTCTTGCACACTGCTGCTTTCCTGAAAGGATAAGAGAAGAAGCAAGAGGGCGTGATTTTGACAAGCCTCTCTTAACTGTGTTGGGACTCTAACATCAAGCATGGGGCCTGGCACGCATTTTATGGAACTGATCTGGCTTCAGTGTCCTTGGCAGGACTAAGTGGACATCTGAAAGTGGGCTGCAGAGTTTCTTTTGGCTGACACAAATTCAGAGCAAGCCCTGTGTGTGATGCAGTTGCCTCTCGACCCTGGGGATTCCGGGCACTATGGAGGCCCCCCAGTGTGAGCTGGTCTGCACTGGCCCATTGAGCACTTTCCCTCACCCCCCACCCCCCACTCCCACCCTGACATGGTTGCTCAGGGTTACCCTTTTCAATAGCCCCAGTTAAGAACCTTCCTTCCGGTGGTTCCTCAACCTCCATTACTTATTTCCTCTTTCCTCTTTTCCTCTGCAGAAGCTCAGGGGAGAGCTTGGGGACTTCTTTGTCGGCTGCATCTTCACAGCAGAACTGAGCACTCCATTTGTATCGCTGGGCAGAATTCTGATTCAGGCATGTATGGGTGGAGTGGCAGAAATAGTGACAAGGGAACTGACTCTGCTTTTCCTTGGAGACTGGGGGTGGGGGTGGTTGGAGAAATCCGTTTAGTGCTACAAATAGTGGGGTAGGAGACCCCTGAACAGACTTAAAGGTCAGTTGGTCTTCCAAGTCAGGGGGGTGAAATTGTACATTTGATTTCACATTTGATCCAGTTCTTTATGGTGGCTCAGACAGTAAAGAATCTTCCTGCAATCCGGGAGACCCAGGTTTACTCCCTGGGTGGGGAAGATCCTCTGGAGGAGAAAATGGCTACTCACTCCAGTATTCTTGCCTGGAGAATTCCACGGACAGAGCAGCCTGGCGGGCTCCATGGACTCACACAGTCGGACATGACTGAGTGACTTTCACTTTATATATAATTTTTCCTGGTCATAAATGTTTTTAAAATTATTTTTGGTTGCACTGGGTCTTCACTGGTGCTCTCGAGTTTTTTTCCTCTAGTTGCAGTGGTTGGGGGCTACTCATCCTTGTGTGTGGCCTCCTCATTGTCGCTTCTCTTGTTGCGGTGTGAGGATTCAGTAGTTGTGGCGCATGGGCTTCATTGCCCCGAGGCATGTGGAATCTTCCCAGACTAGGGATTGAGTCCGTGTCCCCTGCATTGGCTGGCGGATTCTTAACCACTGGCCCACCAGGGAAGTCCATAGATTTTCTCATCTGCTGTTTCTGGGCTCCTGTCAGCTGGGTGGCTTTCACATCTCTGCTGGGAAAAATCTGGGACTGTATGCATGTATCAATACAGCAGCACTTAATGATCTTTTCTACAAGTGTCAGAAAAGGAGACGCTTGACCTGTACACTGGGGGCTCAGGCTAGTCACGACCCGAAGGTGACCTTGCTTTCTCCGTCCCTCTTCTTTTGCAGCTAAAGCAGCAGCATACCCTGCTGTACAAGGTGAACGGAATCCTCACACTGACCACTTTCTTCTTGTGTCGGATCCTCCTCTTCCCCTTCATGTACTGGTCCTACGGCCGGCAGCAGGGATTGAGCCTGCTCCGGGTGCCCTTCCACATTCCTTTCCACTGCAATGTGGCCAATGCCTTCCTCATCGCTCCCCAGATCTACTGGTTCTCTCTGCTTTGCAAAAAGGCAGCCCGGCTCTTTGATGTTCCTCCAGCCAAAAAGGACACTTGATGGCTCCCATGAGTCAGGCAGCGAGGCCGCCTCCGCTTAGTATTCCCTGGACCAAATTGCAAATTGTATCTTGGGTGGCCTCAGCCTTTTGGGTATTGTTCAGCAGATGGATTTGAGTTTTTCTAAAGGATATTCAGTATCACCTCCCTCTTCTAAACTGCCCCTTTCGCAAAAGCACTTTTTCCCTTAGTAATAACTGTTGGATCCTGTCAGAGTTCCAGTGGCAGCGAGGTGGTTTTAATGCAACGCCCAAGGATCCTTCTTGGGTCTTACCTCCAGGGCTCTGGGAGGTAGAAACAGGGAGTGTGGAGAAAGGGGTACCAAGGTGCTAAGCAGCTGGGCATCTGCCTGGTCCTAATATTGGTGGCTCCCCACCTTTCCAACCACTCAGGGCAGTATCTAGACACTGGGCCAGCAGAAGCAAGTGATAACTTGGTTCTTTACATAATTTTTTGTAATGCTGGCCTGGGAAAATCACTGTGGGTAGGTAGTTTTTTATTGTTTACTAAATAATCCATTGGTCCTTTGCCTCATTCTCATCCATGTGCCAAAATAAAATCCTGTCTACTGACTTCCAATCAGAAGTGTCTCTGGCAGGGTGCAGTAGGATGCAGGGATGGGAGCCTGAAGCACCTGAGTAGGCAGGAAGGCCCGTGGGTGAGCACCTCTGCAGGCTGACTTGGAAAGACCAATGTCAAACTTATGAGCTTGTTGTCAACAGGTAAGATACTGTTCCCTTTTTAAGCACCCTTAAGCCCAGCTTCTCCCATATCCACACACAAGGGATGCTCTTGTTAAAAACTACAGGGGTAACACAAAATGACGGCTGCTGAGCTATTCTCTGGGTAACCCCACTCTTTGACACTCCTTTTCCTATGGAGTAGGATGGACTTCAGTATTCCAAACCGTGAGATGTCTCATCTAGACAGCTTCCTGATAAGCCAGAGCTTGTGGTCCAAAGCCTGTTCCTCTGAGTTACCACCGTTTAGCCACAGAAGGCTGGAGAGCAAGAGTGCAAGACAGCCCTGGCCCAAATATGTTCTGTGGACTGACTCCTACCTACCATTTGCAAATAGCATCCTCTGGTGCCAACACTAATTATTCCTTAACAAAAAGGAAGGATTTTAGAAACTGCTACTATGGAATTTCTTCCCAAGTGGTAGCGAAAAACTAGATTTTTTTAAAAAGTGCCTTTAATTCATTGTTGTCTGAACTTTTTAAAGTACTGAATGTGTGACAGTGTCTCAAATTTTGACTATTTCAGTCTTTAATGGGTGCCGTTTTAAAAAAATGCTGTAATTTTTTTTACCGTTTTGTTTACCATCAGTATATCTTTATTAATCACCCCTGTGGTGATTAAATTGCACTAATATTTTCCAACTTAATTCTCATTTGTGAAATACATTCATGCCGACTTCCAGTAAGTGACTATGTGTCTTTGTTTCTGGTCTGTGTTCTTATCAATGTAACTGGCAGAGGTGGGCTGTTGCAGGGAAAGGGGATATGTGAACACTTTGAGCCTCTAAGAGGGCCTCGCTCATACCTCACTCTAAAGTGTTTCTGTTATTGACGGTGCCAAGAGTTCTAGACTTCACGCCCAGTGGTCATGTAACTTTAGGCCCTTTCTTCTCTTCCTAGGTGAATCCCAACTAGGAGTCAGGAGGGTGGTAACCCGATTGTAGGCCAGACAGAGCCAGCCCACTAACCTGAACCCGAACCTAAAGGTGCAGGAGGGAACCCGAATACTGCCTCACTATGATGGGGAGTATGGATCTGTCCTTCCTTGCCTCCCAGTTAAACACCTCACCAGTCGTCCAAGTTCTATAATACATCCTGGACAACCTTAAATTTGCCTTTTCATGCATCCACACACACCATCTTCTGCTCCCACATGTTTTTCAAAACCATGACAACCCATCCTAGGCAGAAGATAATTGCACCCATCCTTTGAACACGTCTCTGCTGTGTTTACCAGTTTCAGCACAGCCCCTTTGGGATCCAGTGAATAGATGGAGGCAACACTGGGGGGCAGGAGTTCTTGACTCAGGACACTCATTTTCCTGAGGTTACTGACCTACCCCCTGAAAACTTAATGTTCTTGGCCCAACCTCCTCCTTTTACACTGGCTGCAGGCCTTGTGGGCACACAAATCACTTGGCCAACTGGTAGCAGAAAAAAGAGTCCTTTTCCTAGTTCCTGCCCTTTCCAAGACACCACAAAATGTCTCTTAAGAGTTTCAGTGCAAAAGAACATATGTGCCAAAAAAAAGAACACATGTGCCTTGTAATCTGTCTACCTGAGTGTTTCACCTTTAGACTTACTTCTAGGGAGAAGTACAATGATGAACATGTTCGCCCTAGCCAAGAGCTCAGGTCAAGGTGAGCCCAGTTTCAGAGTGTATTGAGGAGCCAAAACTATTGAGAAACACTCAAAAGAGGCAAGGTCAAACTCAAAAGAGGATTTTATTACAACCTGTATGTTACAAATGCCTAAGAAACTATTTTCTTTACACTGTTACTGTCTTATTTTGGGGCTCGTGTACAATTCCACTTGACTGAAAAGTTTCTGCTTCTCTGCTCCAGTCCACATCGAGCCCGCCAAGTGGAGGCCTGGCTGTTTTCTGACCCACGGAGGTCAGAAGTTGCTGATCTTCTGCAGGAGGGTTTGGCGTCGCTCCTCGGGGCTGATGTTCTCGGCGATGGACTTTAAGAAGTGCTGCTCATTTACTTTCTGGAGCAAGGAGCTGACGGAAGGGTTGGTCTTGCTCAGCGTTTCGTAGCAGGTGAGGATCTCCAAGGCCAAGACATACAGAGGTTCACAGACCTCCTGGTGGACCATGGCCATGATGTGCAGAACATGACAGAACACCTGCGTGTAGAAAAACAGGGTTTCCTGGGTCAGGTCCTGCTCTTGTCCTTGGGCCCAAGGGCCAACCGACTGTATCAACCGAACGGAGTCCAGGAGATTGGTCAGACTGTTGCAGAGGAGCTTGACCACGTGGCTCCAGCCCTCCACGGGGAGCCAGTTACGGCAGCTCTGGCTGCAGAGAAACTGAAAAGCTCTAAGCAAGAGCACAGAGAGCTGGAGCTCCTGGGCAAAGGGCTTCAGGTTGAGCAGAGGCACGAACTGTATATACTCCAGGCTGTAGGGGACATGCAGGAGCTGCTTCTCCAGCAGTCTCCGGGTCAGCTGGTGAAGGCACTGCCATTCCTGGGGGCTGCACCATGGCATGACCTGCACCAGGGCCACCAGGAAGCCCTTGCTGAACAACCTGACCTCCTCAGGGTTGCCCACATCCACCACCAGGAGGGCGAGCATCTGCTCAGAGATGCTGCTAGAGATGGAGGAGCACTCCATCCAGGCCAGGAGGCCTGTACCGGGCCCATACCCAGGGTGGGCCTGGGAGGTCCACTCGTCCTCAGAAAGCTTACAGATCTCAAAGAGCGTGGCTGGCACCTCACACTTGAAGTGGCCCTCAAAGAAGCTCTTCAGTCTCAGCCCCACAGTCCAGTCCAGTTGCTCCAGCTTCCGGTGGAGCCAAGACAGGGACTTGACCCAAGTGTCCGAGGAGAAGGTGTCGGCATTAGCTGAGACCACCTCACAGAGGAGCTCCAGGATGTGGATGGCCAGGTCCTTCCCATCCAGGGGGAGACAGCGCTTCTCCTTGGGGAGCTGCCAATATTTGCTGAAGCCATCAAGGAGCTGGCACAGGCTGAAGATGAGCGGGAACGGAGAGCAGGACTGCAGCCAGTATTCCTCCAGGTTTGTGCTCCCTTCCAGAGTCTGGATGAAGATCCTCAGACTGAGATCCACCTCTTTGACTTCCAGCATTAAGAAAGGCAGGACGAACTCCTTTAGCACCTCATCTGGCTTGAGCAGAGCAGCAACTGGAATCCCTTGGGGCTTTGTAGGACTCACCAGGCAGCTCAGGAGCTCCAGAAACTGCTTCTCCTCCCGGGGTGTCGAGAGCTTGGTCCAGACCGTTTCTTTGAGACAGGACACCATGAATGTGGTGGAGCGGTCGGGCCCCTGCTCTTCCGTGAACCGGAGGGCGGGGAAGGCAGTGAGAATCTGAGCCAGGAACTTGTGGGTGCCAAAGTTGACCACAGCCATGCTGCACACTTTCTTCACTGTGATCTCCGGGTGCAGGATGACCAGGCGGGCCACGGAAGCAACAGCCTTAGCCAAGCCCTGTTCAGAGGCGCTCTGTGTGAGCTGGTTGAAAGTCGTGTTGAGGTCCTCCTGAAAGCCCTCCAAGTGAGCTAACAATTTCTCGGAGAGGCCCTTGCGCCCCCAGGAGAGCAGGACCCCAGAGAGGACTTTATTTTTATCTGGCAGAGAGAGGTGTGCGTAACACTCCAGGATCAAGTCGACCACTTGTTTGATCTGAGGTTCGGAGACGGCCCTGTCTGTTGTGCCGACTTCCATCACCGTCTCCAGCAGCTTTAACACCAGGCCCGGCTCTCGGAAGAGAGCCCGGTTGTTGAGCAGGCATGACAGCCACTCGTCCGAGAAGGCCCACTTCCTCTCTGAGGCAAAGATGTAGCACATCTCCATGTGGCGGTCCATCTTCTGCTCGATGATGGCCATGGCAATGGAGGCGGTGATGTCCTGCTCGCTGCCCTTGCTCCTCACTACGCTGTTCGTTTTCCTCAGGAAGTCCCCCACGCACTCTGCCAGCTCAGAGACCACCTGCCTCTCCTCCTTGGCCAGGCTGGTGGTGTCCAGGTAGAGCTTCAGGTTCTGGCTGAAGGAGGTCAGGCTGTCGCAGAGGCGGAAGCTGTCGTAGCTGGTCCCCTGGCTGCTGTTGAGCAAGGCCTGCAGCTCCTCCCCCCACCCCTGCAGCAGGCTGCGCAGGAACTCAAAGCCCACGAAGATGGTCTCACTCGGCAGCCTGGCCAGGGAAGTCAGGCTGATGTCCCGCTCCGCCTCCTTCACCTTCTCTGCCAGTGCCTGCTGGTGATATGGGTTCTGGGTGTCCGAGTTCCACACAGAGATCA